AATATTTTGCTATTTATTTAGAAAAAAACATATACATAATATGTACATAACTATCTATATAATAAATATCTGTCATATTATAAAATCACTAGATATATAAATAAGAAAATATATGATGTTATATCTTTTATTATAAAAGATAATATATCTTTTATTTTAAAAGATAAATTTATTAATTTGAAAAAATAATGTTAATTTTTTAATATAATAATATATAATATTTATAATTAATAATAAATATAATATATAATATAATAATAAAGATATTCTTAATTTTAAAATATTTTAAAATATTCTAAGTAATCTAAAATATTCAAAATTAACAGCAAATTTGTAATTTTATATGTATTAATAGAAGAAAATTAACAGAAAATTAATAAAAGAAAAAAATAAGAAATAAAAAACTATACATGTTTTAAATTACACTGAATATATACAAATTATGGTACCTGTTAACCTAGTTACGACACTGTTATTATATGATTTGTATATATTCTCACTATTCATAAGTATACGTACCTTTTTAAATGCTTTGTAGACAGTCGCATAACTTCCTGAGCCGATTTTTTCTAACAAAGAATAATCACTTACACTGGGTAAATTCATTTTACCCGCTAATTATATAATTCAGTTCGACATTTATCTCGAATATCACAACACTTGGGGTTAACTTGACAGAATACCGTGAACTTCTTCACTTATCGTTCGTAGAAACATTGGCGTAGTATAACTCAAAAATTTAAATCTATTAAACTGAAATCAATTTTATATTAACTCATCTTTACGAATATATAAAAGATAAGAAATTTAATAAGTCGTATTTAATTATTTTATATAATAAATATATATATATTATATTCAATTTAGAAATTAAATATAATTTTTTGAACAACTTTTTATTATTTTTAATAATTCTTATGTGATAAATAGATCATATTTTAAATATTTTAAAATTATATATATATATAATTTTTTATAAAATTTATTTCTGTTAGTTTTTCTGGATTAATTACTTATTTTTCCATGTCAAATTAAAAGAAATTTTATTAAGAAATAATTTTTATTTGAAGTATTTTTTTGAAAATAGATTTTAAAATTATATATAATTATTATAAAATTATAATTTGTAATGTTAATTTTTTCTTTTTATATAGAGACGCCCATGTGTGTCAGCTGTGCATCACATAAAGAGCTTACTTCATGTAGTTGACTAAAGTCAGTAAAACGACACTTGGCGACGAGACATTTCGTTGTCGCGTCCCTCTTAGATTTTCAGTTTCTCGGATAGTATTGCGTGAAATTTTGTGTCTATTCTTGTCCATCAACCAACTAACCTTAAGTTTCAACAGCGAGCGCAAAAAAAAATAACAACGTATTTGATTCGATTGTAGAAGAAAAAGTCATCACACGTACTGCTATGGACGTGACAGCAGTGTTCGAGCTATAAGCTCGTCTCTTCTTTCATGGCAAGCGGTGCATTTTAGATTAATTTATGGTTTTACCCGATTAGCCTACTGATTTGGTGACTTGTCAAGTGCAATGGCTGAAAAGATTATCGTGCATGGTAATACATCTTGTAAATTTGTGATGTGTTTGAAAATTGATAAATATTTAGCAATCGCGTAAAGTGTATTTGGTGTTTCGTGTTCATTAAAATTGTTAATTGGAGTCTAATGTTACTAGTTTTCTTATATTAAACGAAATCGAAACGATATCAAAATAAATTTTCCTTAATTAGTTTTCTAATATTCTTAGAAAAAGTATAATTATTCAATTATAGTCATTAAATACATGATGATATCATACGGAACAATCTTACTTCTATGTAACTTTTCATTTTTATAAATTTTTAATAAGTTATCAGAAATGGAATATTCTGTTCGTCACAAAATATGAACAAGGTATTTCATGATTTCATTTATTAATATAATCATTTATATATATTTTCTTAAATATTACTAATTGGAAAAAGTTAAGACATTTCTGTGGAAATAAAAAGTCGTTACTATTAATAAAGACTAAATCTAAGATATTGAAGATCTCAAAAATTTTTTTTTTAATTTGATATATAAAATTTTTATCAAAATAAAATTATACTTTGGCAAATATTTATATTAAATTAATTTGATTTTATTATTATATATATATAATTATATTAATTAATTAAATACTATTTTAATTAATATAAAGCATGAAATTTTTATATATAAAATTAATGGGTTCTGAAACGAAGCATTAATAGAAACCAAAGAACAATATGAAATATCAATTCAATAAACACAGGATGCTATTGGATAAAATGTATATAGAAGTCTTCTGATTGGCTAACAACACGGTAGCTCATTCATCCTTTCTCCGTGAAAATAGTATTCAGTATATCAGTTGCCGGAGTTCAACTCGGATGTTTTGGCAGCTGATTTTATTTCTTGCTTACGTCGATGGTAAAAATATTTTGAAGTTTTAACTATTCATGCTATTTGGGGAATCGTTTAGTGTCGTGAATGAAATTTTGTGAAATACTATTGATAGTAAGTAAATAGAAATGTACAGTAAAGTTTCTTGCTTTATTCGGGAAGTAGCGAACGATGACGTCATGTGTTGAGCATAAGCTGTTTTCACCTTGTTCCGCTACAACAGTATTTCGCGGGTGCAGGTGTAATACATTTCTTTTCCTATTGAAATTATATCGAAATTTATTGAGTATCAAAACAAAAAAAAATATTCACATTGATCTCTTATTTCTTTTATAATTCTTAGGCGCATATGAAGACTACATTAAAAAAAATGTGTCAGTGTACTGTTTTTATCTAATTATGATATTTGTGTAATAATTTGATTGTTTTTGAGTATATAATGATGTATATAATGTAATGGAAAAATATATAAATCACAAAGGACATTTAAAAAAATTTATAGTACTAGATATAATACTTATATTCCTTGATTGTTTTTTTATACAGGTGCAAAATATATAAAATAAACGGATATATATTAGTGTTTTGATTACTTAATAAACTAAAAGATTTACAATGGATTCTGAAGAGGAAACATATGATGATGTTGATTCTGGCAATGAATCTAGTGGAGATGATGTGGATTTTGCAATGGAAATTGAAGCTGGAAATCCAAGAGAACGATCAACAGATGTTGATGATTATCCTTTTGAAGTTTTATCAACAGAAGAAATAGTGCAACATATGGTTGATTCTATTAAGGAAGTTAATACAGTTGTAGAAGTATGTTGAAAATAATTTATTTTATAAAATAATCTAATCATTTAATTAAAATATAAAAAAAATATATGTATATAATACACATATTTTTCTTTAATTTAAACAAAGAAAATAATTATTATAATTAAAACATTGCATTAATTATAGATACCAGCTACAACTACACGTATTTTATTAAATCATTTTAAGTGGGATAAAGAAAAATTAATGGAACGCTTTTATGATGGTGATCAGGAAAAATTATTTGCTGAAGCACGAGTTGTTAATCCATTTAGAAAGGGTCCATTAATAAATAGAAATCAATCTTCTCAAAGCTCATTGGTAAATAAAATTTTATATTATTTAGTTATAAAATATAAAAAATAAATGATATAGATATATATTAACAATATATACATAAAATTTTTAGTCCAGAAGAACTTCAACAAATGGTACTGAAGAATGTGGAATTTGTTTTACGATTCAACCATCTGCAGTATGTATATAAATATACATAATATATAAAATATTATCATATGAAATTAATCATAATTTACAATACAATATTAAAAATATATTTTTTCATGTTATTTAACACAATTAAAAAAATTTAGATGATGACTGGACTTGAATGTGGACATCGTTTTTGTACTGGCTGTTGGGGAGAATATCTTACAACAAAAATTATGGAAGAAGGAGTTGGTCAAACAATTGCATGTGCAGCACATGCTTGTGACATTTTAGTCGATGATGCTAGTGTTATGCGTCTTGTAAAAGACTCTAAAGTGAAACTGAAATATCAACATTTAATAACAAATAGTTTTGTTGAAGTAAATATTATTTTATCTGTTTTTATTTTATTATAGATTTTATATTAATATTATTTATTATTTTATTTTATAGTGTAATAGGTTATTGAGGTGGTGTCCATCTCCAGATTGTAATAATGCTATAAAAGTACAGTATGTAGAAGCAAGACCAGTAACTTGTAAATGTGGGCATACATTCTGTTTCCATTGTGGAGAAAATTGGCATGATCCTGTAAAATGTCACTTATTACGTAAATGGATTAAAAAATGTGATGATGATTCTGAAACATCAAATTGGATTGCTGCAAATACAAAAGAATGTCCAAAATGTAATGTTACTATTGAAAAAGATGGTGGATGCAATCATATGGTGTGTAAAAATCAAAATTGTAAAACTGATTTTTGTTGGGTATGTCTTGGACCTTGGGAACCACATGGTTCTAGTTGGTATAATTGTAATCGTTATGATGAAGAAGAGGCTAAAGCAGCAAGAGATGCTCAAGAAAAATCTCGATCTGCATTACAAAGATATCTATTTTATTGCAATAGATATATAAATCATATGCAATCATTAAAATTCGAAAATAAACTTTATGCAAGTGTGAAAGAAAAAATGGAAGAAATGCAACAACATAACATGTCATGGATTGAGGTAATATTACTTATAATTAAATTAAAAAATAAAAATAAAATAGAAATAAAATAAAATAAAATACAAAATATTAATTATTTATAAGTAATTGCAAAATAACATTTTATAAAAAAATTATTTTTAGGTACAATTTTTAAAGAAAGCAGTAGACATTTTGTGTTCCTGTAGACAGACTCTTATGTATACTTATGTTTTTGCTTATTATGTGCGAAAAAATAACCAATCTGTGATTTTCGAGGATAACCAAAAGGATCTAGAGGGTACTACAGAACGTCTCTCTGAATATCTTGAACGAGATATTACAAGTGAAAATCTTGCTGATATTAAACAAAAAGTTCAAGATAAATATAGGTAAATTATTAATTATTTATTCTTTTTTCTTGTTGTAAATATAATACATTAACAAATGTAATTAAGAATTAAATTTAAAAATATATAAATATTAAATATTATTTTTATTTTAAGATATTGCGATAGTCGAAGAAAAGTGCTTTTGGAACATGTACATGAAGGTTATGAAAAAGATTGGTGGGATTATGTCGAATAGAAATCTAAACCAACTTCGTTTTTCGGGCATGCAAGACAAGATTTCTCTCTTGATACTTTTGCCCTACCTGTGATAAATCAAGAAAGCTGACAGGAAATAAAAATAGAGCATGTCACCAAGTGATTTACGTGTTAGATATACTTTAAATGTAATATGATCTGTGGCAGCACATATATCGTTATGAATTTTTAAATTTATTAAAATTGAATCCTATTACCATCAGGCTAAATGTAAAATACTTCCGTATTAATTAATGATACTAATTTGCGCTTGCTGTGTGCTATTTATCGTTACATGTTTCGATCCTTCATAAACATGCCTTGCAATAATATTTTCAAGTTTCGAATGAATTTTATATATAAACATGTCGGATGATAAACGGTGGTAAAGAAATCGAACAGTGTGTTGCTGTACTAAACAAAAATTTATCAAAAATTTGCTTAATATATTTTAATGCCATAGTATAATAATACATTATACCTTTTCATATTACTATAAGATTCTCTAGAAAAGTATTATTTAGTCTATGGATAAAAACTTTTCAAGAGTTTTATGAATAGTACATGAAAAGGCTAATATAGAACTAGACCTTAATCTGTCTTTTATTGTCAGTCCTGTGCACTCGATTTATAAGAGAATAATTGAATATAACAAGATACTGGTGCAGATAATATTCATAACATGTCTTACCATTTTTGCTCTGTTTTGGACAGTAATACGTCCAGGCTATAACTGCCAATCTTTATGAAAAACTGAATTAAAATGATCATGTCGTCAGTATCGTGTGCAATATCTAAATCAAATTATATTTCTTTAACTCTTACTTTATTTTTCTCTATATATTATTTGAGTAAAATCTTTAAATTTTATTCAAAATATTTTATGTATCTGTAAAAAAATTAAAAAGTGAAAATTGTTTTAAAAATATAAAAATAAAGATATTTAAAATATTAATAAATTAAAACAATATTTTCTTGCTATTAGTTACTAAAGTCAAGCATGCAAAATATTAAAAGGGTCCAATATTCAAAACTTCATAATGTACATTATTTAATTTTGATATATTGAATGATAAGAAATTGAATTTATTAATATTATGTATACTTGAATTATTTTTAAAGATATAGAAATATCGAATATGTTTGTTCATTTCTTTGTTTAAAATATAAAAAAAGATTGATTTTTATTTTTTATATAATTGTTATTTCTTGAAAAGTTTATTTCATGTTCGGTGAGAGATATTCTCATAATGCTGACGATATGTTTGATATGTCATTAATCAAATAATTAATGATTAATGATTGTGATATGATGATCACTTGCTGTTATATAAGTGGGGAACGAAATGAGTTCCATTTGTACAGTTATATAGTTATATATTCACACGTAAATGCATAATACATACTTATATAAATAGTTGTAATATCAATATTAGCAAACTTAAAGTAGAAACATTTGAAGTTTTATTAAAAAGAAATTGTTGATTCTTATTATTATCCATGTTAGGTATAAAAATTAAAAAAAAAAAAAAAGAAAAAAGAAGAAAAGACAATTGTTTTCTGTACAGTCACAAGATCTGAATAGAAGTAAGAATATTGTTAGATATATTCATAACAAATTATTTTTGAGTTCATGATTTTGTATTGTATGTTCATGTGATGCATAAAATTATAAACAATAGCGAGAAAATTATCTTTTTTTTTATATATCAAACATAAAAAATATTTTAACAAGTTTAAACAATTTTGTGTGAAATATCGATTATCGATATTATAATTCCTTCAAATCACCATGTATTTATTAAGATTTGTGCGATAAATTTGAGTAGTTGATGTTTTAATTATGAAACATATCCCAAAAAAATAATGACTTTAGACAGTGCTAAAACTTCGATAAACAAGAATTTGATAAAAGTAACGGTATTACTCGAGAAGCGAATTTTTGATTTAGAAATTTTTAATAATTTCTAATAATTGATGATATGTATAAAGAAATTGCGTAAAATATTTTATTAACAAAATTATGTTTAATTTGCCAATCTAAATGGTATATTTTACACTCGAATTATATTATTTATATTATTTAAAAAACAAAGAATACAGAATATATTATAGATACTCTTTCACACATGCAATTATACTAATCATGTATTTTAGAAATTTTTGTGGTTTGAACTTACATTCTGGTATCAAGTAATAAATCAATATATTTTGAGTAGTACGTAGATTGTATTTACGTTTGAATAAGTATGCTATTTTAAATAAAATAATACATAACACATATAAACAAATATATTTAAAAATATAATTGTTTTAAAATTAACAGTGACCTTATTTAATATCTACTTATTATTTTTTAAATATATTAGAATTTTATATTTTTTATGATATATTTTATATTATATAATATTGATAGCACTTATTATGTATTATCGAGTAATACTAATATTAATATGATTATTAAGTCCATTAAAGCATGAAAATCCTTAATGGCAATCTTTGACTGAATAATTTATTATAAAAATCAGCTACTTGGATTTAAACATCTAGCCTCCTTTGCATTTGCTAATGTTTTATATTTAAAAAATTGGAAATATAACAACTATTAGATACCTTATTCTTTCATACAAAATATGCTATCAAATACTTATGTATTATACATATATAAAATATTGAATTTATCACATTTTAATGATTTTCTTATTATAGGTTTAAAAAATAATTGATGAAACTAACAAAACTGAGGTTTCGTGAAAATGTTTATTATTTCTGAATATTTGTATAAAAATGTTCGCTATGTCATTAGAATCTATCATTGTTGTTTAAAAATGTTATTATATATTTAATAAGAATTGTTATTTTAATTCTTAAACTTTCAATAAGTTCTAAGCATAGATTATGATGATCTTTGATTGATAAGAAAATTTATTAATATATTTTCTACCTAAAATAAATTATAAATAAATACATTTAGATTGTTTCTACCTAAATTCAATAGAATTTTGAGATTTTTGTTTGATATAAATATCTGAAACTTCAATTTTGAGTATTAAGAAATTACTTTGATAAAATTTCTAAATTAATATTAAATAATTTTTTTCTTTAATTTAATTTCTAATCCATCGAGCTGCAGTTGTTACAAAATATGAATATAATAGGAAACTTGTATCATTATCATTTGCTTATGTTACATATCTGTTGGAGTTATATAAAAAATGGGATGATTCTGAAACTGAATGACATTGATATGAAAATTGTGCAGACTGCAAATTGAAACTTAATTTACATCCTGTACTTATTATAAGTTATCTTTCAAATCACACAATTTCACTTTTTGTGCCAATATTAAACCATATTAACTTATGTAAGCTTCCAGAAATTATTTTTAAAACTATTTTGGTAAAATATAAGTACACTGGAAGATCTTACACAAAATATATTTTTTGTAAATTAATTTTTAAGGGTATATCAAGAGGTCACTGTTAAAATAGTTGCAACCAAACCAAGTGTAGCACCTGTCATTATAAGACTTCTCCAAATTGCTCCACTTATTTCTTCTGCCACAGGATATTCTATACACAGTTGCTCCTAAAGAAATATGATACATGCATATGTCAATGTAAAAAGTAAATTATTTGTTTATGTGTCCAAAACATAATTTCTATGTATTCATATTTTTTACATTAGAAAACAGTATTTACCCATCCTCCATATCCTTTGATAAAATGTGCAACCTTTTCACCAATAAATCTGGAGACATATAGTGGTAATTTTTTCTTTAAAGCGTGCATTCGTCTATCCCGAGCCCAAAGAGCGAGTCTACCCATAAATGCATATAGACAAACGATTCTTGCCCATGTAACTCCACCATGTAAAAACAGCTCATCCGCAACTCCCATGAATGCCTCGTACGCCGTATCCGGTACAACATTTAAACGATTTACCATACTCGCGAATAGAATACTATGCTTGTTCAACATTTGATACACATTGTGTCTCATACTACGGGAAACTGGATCTCGAGATATAAGATAAATATCTTCCTTAAGTAGGTACCGTATTACATCATTCGCCAAACATTCTGCCGTAAGCTCTATGGAATCTTCACAAAGTCTATACCGTGAAGATGAAATCAATTGCGGGAAAAGATGTTGCAATCGAATCTGAAAAAAACGATTTTTTTAATACAAAGTAATAATAATCTTTTGAAGAAAAAAAGAAAATATATATATATATATATGTATATATATATACATATATATATGATATGTGAAACAGGAATAATATAATTGAACGATTAACGGTGCTTCGTTCTCATTATTTGAAATATTGAATATAAATGTTTTTCTATATCAACAATATTGTTATTGATATAACATTGAAATGATAAACAATGAAACATTAAGAAATAATAAGATTTTTGAAATTTAATTTTCGTTAACGTATTGATTTTCTTACTGAAATGAGACAATAGCTTTCACTTGAATAAGAAAAAGAAAAATGAAATTTGCGCAAAAGAAAAAAGCGCGAAAAATCGACAGAACAGAAAAAAATGAATACAGAATTCACTGACAACTGTAAATTAAATTAAAAAAAACATAATGCCGGTATTCATATATTGTTACCTGACAAACTTCGATAAAGGACATAGCGGTATTGACAGTGCTGAGAGCATATCGGCATAAAGCGCCGTTATCGCCGGCAATCACGGTTTCAACGCCTCCGCTGTTGTTACAGTCGTCGGCAATCATAGTTTCACCGCTTCCGTCGGCGCAGTCGTCGTTGTTACAGACTCGCTCGCTCGGCGAATTCTTGTTACCGGGGGGATCGCATTCCAGGATGCC